CGCTGTCCCTCAGCTCTTCAGCTCAAGGCTAGCGCTCTACCACTTGAGCCACAGCACCACTTCCGGCTTTTTTCTTTTTGCTTATATGGTGCTGAGGAATCGAACCCAGGGCCGCTGGCATGCAAGGCATGTGCTCTACCACTGAGCCACCTTCCCAGCCCCAGTTTTCCACATTTCTTTCTATTTAAGCTTAATCTGTACAAATCATAAATGAGCCCTCAGTAAATTTTATAGCTCCACTTTGAAACATGGCGACAAAACGCTTGCCCTGGTCAAGAACAAAATATTATCTGCCCTTTGAAGGGCAATTATTGTACTTCCTTGACCAATCTTGAAATAAGGATCTTTTTTTTTCCCTTCCAGTTTCCTTGTTTTTGGAATTAGGTGCCTCAACATGTAGCCAAGTCTGGCCTGGAACTCTTGATCATCCTGATTTAGCCTCCCAAGTGCTGGGATTACAGGCGTGAGCCATCATGCCTAATATAAAACAGTAGCTTCAAAAACAAGAACAAAAGCACAACACACAAAAAAACCCACAGTAGCTTCTGAAGCCCAAGGTGGCATAAGCACATGTTTGGTCAATCACTGATGACATCATCACCAAGGGTCAAGGAGTCTGGGAAGCTCCCCTGGGAGATCATGAAGAACATACCAGTGAAGAAAAGCCAGGACATCTTGGTGTTACAAGCACAGTTTTGACCACATGGACCCCTGCCGAGGTCTCCGGGACCCAGGGGACCTGGGGTTTACACTTTGGGAAATGAAAGCTGTGTAATATTCCATTAAATGACTTCAACCTTCCTGCTTCTTCTTCTTCCTTCTCTTTTTAAATCTCTTTCCCAGCCCTTTCCCAATACTGCCCTCCCCTCAGGCCTGGAAGCCTTTTTGTTTGGTGCTACATTTAGATCTGGCTGCATCCTTTTTATTTTCTAGAGAGTTGGGATTTGACCTCTGAGGACACTTCATGACTCTAAAAGAGTAAATCTATAGCTGAGCTGGAGACAGGATGGTTGAGAGTTCAAGGCTATCTATCCTGGGCTATGTGTCCTCTCTCTCTCTCTCAAAAAAAAAAAAGAGGGGTGAGAATGGATCCTATAATTTTTTTTGGGGGGGGTGTTGGTTGTGGGCCTTGAACTCTGGGCCTGGGTGCTGTCCCTGCGCTCTTCAGCTCAAGGTTAGCGCTCTACCACTTGAGCCACAGAGCCACTTCTGGTTTTCTGGTGGTTAATTGGAAATAAATGTCTCACAGACTTTCCTGCTTGGGCTGGCTTTGAACCCCAATCTCAGCCTGAGTAGCTAGGATCACAGGTGTGAGCCACCAGCACATGGCTCTACCACTTTGATCCACAGTACCATTTCTGCTTTTCTGTTGGTTCTGACTTTCCTTCCCAGGCTGGCTTCGAACCATAATCTCCAGATCTCAGCCTCCAGGGTAGTTAGGATGACAGGTATGAACCACCAGCAACCAGTTGACCCTATGAGTTTCCAAACTATAGTATTGATTGTTGTCATTTTTCAGGCCAAGATTCTGTCTCTCTAACATCCTACAATTCCAACAAGCCATAGGGTATGAGAGTGAAGAGTATGTATTTCAGGCCAAATGTGGTGGTAGACCCCTATAATCCAAGCACTGGGAAGGCTGAGAATTATCTAGCATGTGTCAGGTCTACACTTCCGAACCAAATTACATCACAAGCTCTGTGGCACTGAGCAAATTCTGTCATGCTGCCCTGGCTTCCTCATCTGGGAAGCAAGTGTGAGGTGACATTGGGTCCTTGGGTGATTGTTGCAATTAAATAAGGTGATACGTGTAGAATGCTTAATGGTGCTTGTCTCGTAGCAGGTGCTAGGGAGGTCTACCCTATGGCCATCATCATCACCACCATTGCCACTGTCACCATCTCCATCTCTTTCACCATTACTGTCACCACCTCATTACCATTACCTTCATTACTATTGTCTTCATCTTTATCATCATCACCACTACCACCACCACCTTAATCATCACTACCATCACCTTAGTTACCACCACCTGCATTATCATGATCATTACCACCATCTTCATCATCACCGCCATTATCATCGCTTTAATTACCACCACCGTTACCATCATCACCATCATATTTTTCTAAATTTCTATGGCTTTGGGTGAGGCTTGGTGTTTCCTAAGATTTACTGCGTCTGAGATTCTAGTGTCTTAGCCAGGCATGGTGATACATGCTTGTAATCCCAGTACTTGAGAGGCTGAAGCAACAGAGTCATGAGTTCTAAGTCAGCCTGGGCAAGTTAATGAGATATGGTCTCAACAACAACCAAAAAAATCCAACAACAAAAAACAACCCCAAATCAAACCAAAGATGCCTCTCATTCTAGTTTTATTTGTCAGTCATGGGGCTTGAACTCTGGGCCTGGGTGCTGTCCCTGCTCTCTTCAGCTCAAGGAGAATGCTCTACTATGTGAGCCACAGTGGCATTTCTGGTTTTCTAGTGATTTATTGAAGATAAGAGTCTCACGGAGTTTCCTGCCTGGGCTGGCTGTGAAACGCAATCCTCAGATCTCAGCCTCCTGAGAATCTAGGATTACAGGCGTGAGCCACCGGCGCCCAGCTCATTCTAGTTTTTAAAGCCATGTATGGTTCCACAGCTCCATCATTTCAGGGACTGTGGTCCCCAGGCTTTCACAGGTGGGGGCTCATGCACCTACAGAAGCCTAGCAGGCCCATTTCTCTCTGCTTTTTGAGCCTAGACCAGAGCAAGAAAGCATAGAGTTCACTCACAGATGGCTTCATTGGTCCGCCGACTGTAGGACTTGCGAACACGGTACCTGACTACCAGCTCTCCTCTCTCCACTGTGGGCTCAAACACCTCGCTGGGGGGAGTGGGGGAGAAGGTGAGGATGGGAAAGAACCACATGGAACCCCCTCCTTCCAAATACCATCCCCAGTCTCCCCAGGCCTGCCCTCAGCCCTCTCCAGCCCTCTCATTCCTACCTCCCTGGCCTCATTCCCTCCCTGCCTCAGGCTTCTCCACCCCAGCCCACAGAAGCCTTTCCCCATGACATCCTAACTCACCCATAGCGGGTCTCTTTCTTCCGCCGGTGAACGAGGAACAGGGCCAGGATGAGGACACAGACAGCAGCCACGATGGCTCCCAGCAGTACATACCACCAGGGCCACGAGAAGGCAGGAGCTGGGGGTTCACTCACTGTCGGAGGGGGGGAGGGTATGGGGAACAGGTCATGGCAGAGGTCTGGGAGCCAAGGGGAGTGTGATGCGAGGAGTCAAGGGACAAGGAAGAAGTTGTGGGGTGCACTCGGTGAATGATGGATGTGTTCTCATATCCCAGAAACTGAGCTAGGCAAGGGCGTTGTGGTACATGAGGTAGGGTAGAAAGCATGAGAAACTTGAAGGGTGAGCGAGAGAGGGACAGAACTGCTCTTTGAGTGTGCAAGAGGTGGGATGGGATGGTGAGCTGATGAGCATGGGAGAGGTGTGAGCCTATCTGAAGTAGTGCAGGAGGCTTAAGGTTGATAATGGAATGACCGTGCAAGGCGAGTGGGCCTGGGTGAGGAAAAAGAGGTTGAGTAGGGAAGGGAATCTCTGTAGTATCAGATGGTGTATAAGGTATCTGGCAAGGAATATGCAAGGAGTGTGAGGCTGGGGGACCAAAAACTAAGGGCTATGTGGAGCGAGTGTTCAATGAGTTCTAATGAGCCAGGGGCTCAAGCTTGTAATTCATTTAGAGATTCGGGGTTCCTAAGATTTACTGTGTCTAAGACTGAGGCTGAGACCAGATCTCTGGATTAAAAAAATTAAAAAAAAAACTGTGGAATTCTGTCTCCAAAATACCTAGCAAAAAGCTGAGCTGGAGGTATGGCTCAAGAGGTAGGATGCCCATTATAAACAAGAGAGTTAGCCTAGCTCTGGTGGCTCACACCTGTGATCCTAGCTATTCAGGAGGCTGAGATCTAAGGATCGCAGTTCCAAGTCAGTCCTGGCAGAAAAGTCCCTGTGAGACTCTTATTTCCAATTAACCATTCAAAAGCTGGAAGTGGAGCTGTGGCTCAAAGTGGTAGAGCACTAACCTTGAGCAGAAGAGCTCAGGGACAATGCCCAGGCCCTGAATTCAAGCCCCACAACTGACCAAAACAAAACAAAACAAAACAAAAAGAAAGAAAAAAGAAAAGAAAAGAAAAAGCTAAATGAGAGTTCCAGGTCTCAGCAAGGTTCCAGGCCTCAGTCCTAATGATTAAACAAAGAGCAAGAGAAGAAGGTATGTGAAGAACAGCTCAGGGTAGTGGCTGTGTTACAATGTTACAAGTGGTGACTCATGAGGGGGCTAGGAAGGGACAGTGGTGTTCCAGGAGGGATGTTTGAGAACTGTTGGGGAAAAACCTGTGGGATGGATGTGTGGATACTCTCTTTCCTTTCTTCCATCTCTTCATACTTCCTTTCATCCATCCAACCTTCCTTTCTGCCTTCCACACATCCACCTGCTCATCCTTCCATCTATCTGTCCATTCATCCAACCAGCTATCCCTCCCTCCCTCCCTTCCTTCCTTCCTCTTTCTCTCTCCCTCCTTCCTTCCCTCCCTCCCTCCCCTTCCTTCCTTCCTCTTTCTCTCTCCCTCCTTCCTTCCCTCCCTCCCTCCCCTTCCTTCCTTCTCTCTTCTTTCTCTTTTGTCAGTTGTGGAGTTTGAACTAAGGACTTGGGCATTGTCCCTGAGCTCTTTTGCTCAAGGCTAGCATTCTATCGTTTTGAGCCACTCGAGGTCTTTGAGTGGTTAATTGGAGATAAGAGGGACTTTTCTGCCTTGGCTGGCTTCTAACACGACCCTCAGGTCTCAGCCTCCTGAGTAACTAGGATTACAAGTGTGAGCCACCAGTGCTAGGCCCACCATTCTTTCTCCCATCCATCCATCCACCCACCCATCCATCCATCCATCCTTTGACCTGTCCACATATCCACTCACTCTCCATCTACCCATGCACCCATCCAGCCATCTCCCCAAAGTGCTGGGCTATTCCAGACCCCTCCCTCCGGGGCCCACACAAACCTAAGAAGCAGGTTAGATGAGTGTGAGAAATGTGTGTGTGTGTGTGTGTGTGTGTGTGTGTGTGTGTGTGTGGACAGGGCCCTCATGGTATGTTGGGGGAGGGAGGGAAATAGAGTGCAGAAGCCCTTACCCAAGTGATGGATTGGCAGTCCTTGCCCTGTGAGGAGAAAGGACAGAGAGGAGATGTGCTCAGAGAGGGCAAGACAGGGGAGGGAGGAAGGGAGAGAAGGAGGGAGGGAGGAAGGGAAGGAGGGAGGGTGGAAAGGAGGGAAGAAGGTAGGGAGAGAGGAAGAGGGAACGAGAGAGGAAGGAGGGAGAGGAAAGAAGGGAAGGGGGGAGGGAGGGAGAGAGGGGAAGGAGGGAGGGAAAGAGGGAGGGAGGGAGGGAGGGAGGAGGCTTCCTGCCAGGCACACAGCCTGGGCTGTGCAGCACTGAGAGGTGCAGAGTCGGGGTGTCACAGGAAGAAGGCCCGCGGTGGGCTGAGGGGGCTTTGGTGTTACCTGGGCGCCAGGGCTCCAGGGGCACCGGGAGGCTCCAGGGCCCATCCCCTGCAGAGGTGTAGGCTGCCACGGACACGGTCAGGTTAGTCACAGGTCCGTCCCCCCGCAGTTCAAGGGTCATTTCTCTCTTTAGCCCCACGTCCATTAGCACCTATGATCCAAAAGCAGAAAAATCTAGACAACTCCAGGCCTAGCTGGCTCGTGCGCCATCACCCTGAGCCTCTGCTCAGGCCCCAGTCTCACCCCCATTCTTCATTCTCCCCTGCCCCCCAGGCCTCAACCCTCATCCCCAGCCTTCATTTCCCCGCCCCCAGCTAAGGCCCCGCCCCTCATCCTTAGCCTTCACCGCCCCCCCCCCCCATTTGCCTCTCTTGGACACCGGCCACACCAAGACAGGAACTGTCTCTGTTCTAGCCTTGTCTTTAATTCCTTAGCAGCATGAATTGTATATGCTACTGCTCACTCGTGTGTGGAAGAATTGAATTCTGTTGCTTTCTCCTTTATCTCTCCAACCCCTGTGAACATCTAGGCCCTACCTCTCCACCTAAGAGGTTTCTGGCTCTAGATAAAACTTTTATCAAGTTTATTTATTTATTGTCAGTTGTGGGGCTTGAACTCTGGGCCCCGGTGCTGTCCCTGAGCTCTTCGGCTCCAGGATAGCACTCTATGACTTGAGCCACAGTACCACTTCTGGTTTTCTGTGTGGTTCTTTGGAGATAAGAGTCTCATGGACTTTCCTGCCTGGGCTGGCTTTGAACCTCCATCCTCAGATCTCCAACTCCTGAGTAGCTAGGATTACAGGCGTGAGCCACCGGGTGCCTAGCAAGTTTATTTTTAAAGCCCTGTCCCCTTCCTCCAGACGGTTATACGTGTCTGCAGTAAAACTGTTTGAGTCAGTACATCTGTCTCCTAAAATACTTTTGTACTGGTTCTTAAATATTTATTCCATCTCCCCTCCCAGGGGTCCCCTTAACCTCCCCTGGATTACTAGGCGCAGGCCAATTGCATCATCTTGACATCTTCTTCCCATCTCCCTCCTCCTCCTCCCACCATCCCAACCCCCAACCCAGTCAGCAGCACCCACCTCAGGGGTGTCCTGGCCACGGTATGCCAGCCGGTACCCTAACAGGGTACCCTGCAAGGGCACTTTGGGCTTCTGCCAACGCACGAGGGCCTGGCTCCCATTCCGCATGGCACTAACATTCTCAGGGGGGCCCAGGGGCACTGGAGGGCAAGGAAGAGGGGAAGCTAGCATCCTCATCTCTTCCTGACCACCCCCCTCCTCCCCGGTGCCCAGGAAGTGGGGGGGGGCTGCGTACAAAGGGCACTGTGCGTGGGCAGCGCATGTGGGATTTGCCAGGGGAGAAGCCAGGGGAGAGATCTGGGAAGGATGCCAGCAGGCGGGGCTGAGAGGACAGGAGGGACATGGAGGTCACATGGGGAAAAGGGGTGAGAGGAGACCCGGGGGGTGGCACTGCGGCGGGCAAGGTCCAGCAAGACCATGGGTGGCATCTCTCAGCCCAGTCTTTCCTACCTCCTTCCGGTGTCTCCACCGGGTGCCAATGGGTCCAGGGAGAGGACCCCTGGCTGCTGGCACAAGACACCCGGATGTGGTAAAGGGTGTGAGGATGGAGCTTGCCCAGGCGAAGCTGGTAGGGGGGCACGGATGCCTGCAAGGTGAGGGGCTCCTCCGAAGGCTCTGGTTCTCCCAGCTGGTCACCTACCACATCATCGGACAGCACAGCCTGAAGAGAGAGGGGAGAGCTGGGTGCTAGCAGCACGGTGCACACCTGTCAACCTGGCTACTCAAGGAGGCTGAGATCTGAGGATCTGAGTGTGAAGCCAGCTTGGGCAGGAAAGTCAGACAGACTCTTATCTTCAAATGAAGCAGTACAAAGCCAGAAGTGGAGGTGTGGCTCAAGTGGTAGAGCACCAACCTGGAGTGAGTAAGATTCAGGCCTTGAGTTCAAGCCCCAGTACTAACACAGAGAGAAAGAAGAAAAGAAAGATAGAAAGAAACAAAGACAGAAAGAAAGAAAGAAAGGAAGGAAGGAAGGAAGGAAGGAAGGAAGAAAAGAAAGGAAGAAAGAGGAAGGAGAGAACTAGAGAAAGACAGAAAGGAAGGAGAAGAAAGTAGCAAATAAAGAATTGTTGATCTAGCATGAAGAAGGCTGTACGTTTAATCTCCAGCACCACAAAAAATAAAAGAAAAAGACAAACGAGAGTCAGGTATCCTGGCTCACACCTTTAATCTTAGCTACCCAGGCCTCTATCTATCTATCTATCTATCTATCTATCTATCTATCTATCTATCTAATCTCTCTCTCTCTATTATACCTATATGTATATATATATATATATATACATACATACATATATATATATATTTTTTTTTTTTTTGTCGGTTGTGGGGCTTGAACTCTGGGTCTGGGTGCTGTCCCTGAACTCTTCAGTTCAAGGCTAGCACTTTGCCACTTGAGCCACAGTGCCACTTCTGGTTTTCTGGTGGTTAATTAGAGATAAGAGTCTCACAGACTTTCCTGTCTGGGCTGGCTTTGAATCCTGATCTTCAGATCTCAGCCTCTTGAGTAGCTAGGATTACAAGCGTGATCCACTGGCACCCATCTGTATTTTTTTTTGGGGGGGTCTGGTCGTGGGGCCTGAACTCTGGGCCTGGGTGCTGTCCCTCAGCTCTTTAGCTCAAGGTTAGTGCTCTACCACTTGAGCCACAGCACCACTTCCGGCTTTTTTCTTTTTGCTTATGTGATGCTGAGGAATCGAACTCAGGGCCTCATGCATGCAAGGCGAGCGCTCTACCACTGAGCCACCTTCCCAGCCCCTGTATTTTGTTTTTGAGATAGGATCTTACTACTTTTGTTGAGGCTGGCCTCAAACTCTCCATCTTCCTGCTGCCACCTCTTGAGTAGTTGGGATTACCGGTATGTGTCACCCTGTCTACCTTTTGCTCCCTACCCCCGATGGTGGTGGTGGGGAATGAGGTAGCTGGAGCACGTAGAGATTTGGTGGCTTGCCCAAAGTCATACAGCCCCACATTGGGAGACAAGGTCACCTGGAAAGCACTGGAGGAGGTGGGCAACTTGTAGACATCAGAAAATAGAGTCAGGCTGCCCCCAGGCCTGCTCCCTGACCCATAATCGTGACAGATGGGAAGAGGAACTTCTGCCAGGACAAAGGGGAGGTGGGTGTATTGGAGGGGGGGGCCATCCTTACTCCTACTTCTCCTTTCCTTAGGATAGGCATGACCCTCCGGCCTCAGCCCACCGGCAGCGGGAAGTGAGACCTGGAGAGGAAGAGCACCCACTTCTGCTTTCATGGGGGACGCTGGATAGATGGGGACAGGGGTGTAGCTGGCACCTGGTCTAGCATTTAAGGTCCCCCAGGCTGGGGAGTCACTGGAATTCAATCTCAGCTTTGTCCTTCTAGCCATGGGCAGGGGAGGAGGAGCAGGCCCTTTTTTTTCTTAGGATCTCAAGATGAATAACCCTAGCTTTTAAAGTTCAAATGAAGCTAGGCGCTTCATTATTAACTCCTCAAGAGGCTGAGATCTGAGGATTGTGGTTCAAAGCCAGCCCAGGCAGGAAAGTCTGTGAGACTGATCTACAATTAACCACTCAGAAAACTGGAAGTGGCGCTGTGGCTCAAGTGGTAGAGTGCTAGCCTAGAGCTGAAGAGCTGAGGGACAGCGCCCAGGCCCAGAGTTCAAGCCCTACAACAAAAAGAGAGAGAGAAAGAGAAAAAGAGAGAAAGAAAGAAAGAGAGGGAGGGAAGGAAGGAAGGAAGTTAGTTCAAATGATAAATGAAACTGGGCACCAGTAGCTCATACCTGTAATCCTAGCTACTCATGAAGTTGAGATCTGAGGCTCCGGCTTGAAGCTAGCCCAGGCAGAAAAGTCCATAAGACCAATCTCCACTGAACCAGCAAGAGCTGGGAGCTCAAGTGGTGGAGGGCTAGCCTTGAGCATAAAAAGCTCAGGGAGAATGGTGAGGCCTTGAGTTTAGGCCCCAGAACTGCCATTATACCCATTTTATAGATGGGATGACGGAGGTCCAGAGAAGTTAAATGTCTTGTGCAAGGTATTTCAGACAGCAGGGAGGAGAGGAGAGTCAGGACACTGGCTTAATTGAATATTCTACTGTTGGTTTCTTAGAGAGAGGATGGGTGCTTGTGAGTACGGATAAGAGGGCAGACACTGGGGTGACCAAAGTCAGGGGAGGTCTCACCTGTAGGGTGCAGTGGATGAGAGGGTAGACACCACTGAGGCCTGGAGTCCAAGCCACCTCCATCTCTGTGGGTTGGCAGGAAACCACGTGCAGGTCTTGGGGTCGCTGAGGAAGCACTGTGGGCAGATAGTGGGACAGAATAACCCTGGAGGCATCTCATCCTTCCCTGTCTGTGGCTAGTACCCTGGACCTAAGCTCCTCCTTCAGACACTCCATAACCCCCCCTCCCCCCTCCTCCTGATCATTTTCTGTCACCTGTGATGGTGGCCGTGCGGGATGTGGTGATCCCTTTGGCATTGTGGGCTTCACAGGAGAAGGAAGATGTCTTGTTCAGACCTGGGGAGGAGAGAGGGCTGAGTGGTCAAGTAGAGGAAGCCTCATGTAGAAAGGTGGGCACTGGTGCTCACGTCTGTAATCCTAGCTGCTCAGAAGGCTGAGATCTGGGGATTGCCATCTGTCAAAACCATTTAGAGGCTGGGACTCTGGCTTTTAGTGGTAGAGTGCTTGCCTAGCATGCATGAAATCCCGGGTTCGATTCCTCAGTACCACATAAACAGAAAAAGCCAGAAGTGGTGCTGTGGCTCAAGTGGTAGAGTGCTAGCATTGAGCAAAAGAAGCTCAGGGACAGTGCCCAGGCCCTCAGTTCAACCCCAGGACTGGCAAAAAAACAAAAAACAAACAAAAAAACCCAGGGCAGACAAATCTGAGAGACTATTTCCAGTGAACTAGCAGGGTTGGCGGTATGAACTCAAGTGGTAGTGTGCTAGCTGTGAGTAGAAAAAGAGAAGCCAGACTGGGAGGCTCCAGTGGCCCAGTACTAGCCAAAAAATAATAATAAAATAAAAGGAATAGCCAGGTACCAGTGGCTCACGCCTGTAACCCTAGCTACTCAGGAGGCTGAGATCTGAGGATCACGGTTCAAAGCCAGCCCAAGCAGGAAAATCCACAAAACTCTTATTTCCAATTAGCCACCAGAAAACCAGAAGTGTTGTTGTGGCTCAAGTGGTAGAGAAGAGCTCAGGGACAGTGCCCAGGCCCAGTGTTCAAGCCCCAAGACTGACAAATAAATAAATAAAATAAAATAATAAAAGGAATAAAGAAGACATGTACATCCAATACGAACACAAACATATTCATACTGGCCTATGCCAACCTACGTAGAAGCACACACAGAATGGGTAAACTCACTAAAGCATGTATGGGTGTATGTGTAGAAAAGTTTTTTCATTGGTGCCAGCTGCTGGTGGCTTACTTCTATAAGGACTGAGGTTAAAACCCAACCTGGGCAGGAAAGTCCATCTGATTCTTCAATCAACCACGAAAAAAGCCCAAAGTAGAGCTGTGGCTTAAGTGGTAGAGTGCTAGCCTTGAGCACCAAAGCTCAGGGGCAGCGCTCAGGATCCGAGTGCAAAATCCAGGATGGGCAGAAAAAAAGAAAACAAAAAAATTGTTCATCTATACACTCCGTCTATTTCCTGCTATGTATGTGGCTTTGTGGTGTTTCTGGGACACACGTGTACATTCATACACACAATACATTTGTGTGGCACTGTGTTCAGAGCATCAAACTTCAGCCTGATTCAAATCTGGGTGTGCAAGGCCTGGAGTGCATGGTTTGGGTGTATGTGGTCTGGGCATGTGTGTTGTAAGTGTGCATGGCCCGGGTGCGCAAGACCTGGGCATGCATGTTCTAGGCATGCATGGCCTTAGTTTGTGGGGTCTAAGTCTGCATGGCGTGGGTGTGGATAGCCCCCGTGTGCAAGGCCGGTCTAGGCATGCATGGCCTAAGCATGTGTGATCTAGCTGTGCATGGTCTAAGGTGTGTGTGGTGTAAGGTGTGCATGGCCTAGTGGTGCATGGCCTGGACATGCAATGTCTAGGTGTGCCTGGTTTAGGTCTGCATATTCTGGGTGTGCATAGTCCTGGCCTGCAAGGTGTGGGTGTGCACAGGGCGTGCTCCTGCAGCTGCACACCCCTCTGCACGTGGTGCCCCCTGCACGTGGCGCCCCTTGCAGTTTGCGCACGTGTAACTGCGCGTGCGCACGCCCGGGTCCGGGCGGCACCTCCCCGCTCCACGCCGACACAAAGTTTCCTTTTCTCTCCATCGTGGTCAGCTCTGCGGGGTGGGAGTGGAGCCGGAATCCAGGCCCCCGCCGCCTGCCGACCCTGGGCCGGAAGGGGCTGGGCGGGGGAGGGGGCACCCCGGTTCCCAGCCAAGGTCAGGTGCTCAGCAGGGACGAGGTGGGGGGGTCCGAGGGGGGCCGCGCTGGGCCCCCACGCTGGCACCTGGCTCATGGGGACGCCGTTGGGCCAGCGAGCGGGGCCTGGGGCAGAGAACGGGGATTCTGGAACCTGGTTCGTATTCCGACCGCAGCATTCCTGCCCCCGCATGAGTCACGGCGCCCCCGCACCCCGCCCCTCCCCAGCACTTCCGGCCGCCTGTCTGGGACCCCCCTTCTCAGGCCCCTGCGTCTGCTCGGGGGAAGGGGGCTGGTGGGGGGGTGGCGAGCCCTGTCCCTTCTTCTAGACCCTCCTTGGGGGGGGGCCTGACCTCTTCAGATGTGCTTTCCAGATGTGTTTCCTCCCCCCCCAGCTCCACCCCACCCCTGCCTTGCTTTTCCAGGGAATGTGAGGGATGGAAGGAAGACACGCCCTGAGTCAGAGGGACAGACTTAACAGCAACGGACAAAATTCCTTCACAAAGCAATAGAGACACACAGACATAGAGACGCACAGACCCATGCATATACACGAAGACACACAAAGATACACAGACACAAACACATAGACACACCAACACGGTGAGTCACACAAGCCGTTATTGGCACAAATGCATACACAGATGAACAGAGCTGGCTAAGCTGAACTCCATGCTGGTCCTAAACAATGTATACTGACTCACGTCAGGAGACTTAGACACACACACAAATATACACAAACAGAAATGAGTCAGCATGGGGACAAACCCATAAACACAGTGGCACACACACGCATGTGAATAACAGAAATCAAGTCACACACACAGTAAGAAACATACAAGTAGTCAGGGCCTGGTGTCTCCTGTCTACTAGCTACTCAGGAGGCTGAGCTCTAGAAGATCACCGTTCAAAGCTAGCCCAGGCAGAAAAAATAGGCTCTGAGATTCCATTTCTGTTTAAGTAGCAAAAAGCTGGGCTGGAGGCATGGCTTAGTGGTAGATCACCTGTCATGAGTAAAAACAAGTCAAGCCAGAGCCAATACACATACAAGAAGACTAGAGGGAAGAAGCAGGTGTTTGTTATTGACTTGTGAATCCGAGGCTGTCTTACCTGCCCCCCCGCCCCCCACATACACACTGGGATCAGAGACTCCATTGGTGTCAGTTATATTCCAACAGGCTCAACCTATGCAGACACATGGATACCACAATTGGACACGTCCACCCCACAGAGACCCATGGACACACACACACACACATACATATCCATCCCTCTCTGGCCCCCCCTCTTCTGTGACTCAAGCTTCATTCTTGTCCCTTACCACTCACTCAAGCCACTGGCCCTGAGTCACCCCTCTGGGGGGTCAGCATGCTTCCCATCCCTTCCCTGCACACTCAGGGTCCCTAGAATGCTGAGAATGTGGGTACCACCCTTCACCTATGGCCCCTTTTCATCCCAGCAACGGCAGTGAGGAAGCAGGTGGGGTTCAGCCACTACTCTGGACTGAGACAACCTCAATTTGTCTCTCCTCCTTGGATAATGGAAGGTTCCTCACCCACCTCCACCACCCCCAGCTCTGCCTCTGACCACCATGGAGCTCCAAGCAGAGTGAGAGTCGTCTTGTCAGCCCAACTTCCCTGGCCTGTAACTCTCCCATCTTGGGTCACTTCTGGGTATCTTTCTCTGGCTCCTTCTTTCTCTCCCTCCTTTGCCCAAAGGAGTGCCTGAGCCAAAGCCCAGAGGATGCTGGAGGGCAGTCGATGGGCATCTGTGTGTGTGTGTGTGAGGGCAGATGGGGGAGAAGGGGGCACGGATGGTTCTGATGCCCTGTTGGGTCACAAAAGGGCACAAGGCCCACAGACTTGAAAGTGCAGAGGAAATTGGAGACAAAGAGTGCTATTCAGAGAGGGTGAATGGAAAGAGTAAGAGACAAACAGATACACAGAGACCCAGGAAGAAAGAGTTAAGAGTTGTGCTGGATACTGGTGGGTCACGCCCATCATCCTAACTACTCAAGAGGCTGAGATCTGAGGATCCAGGTTCAAAGACATCCCAAGCCGGAAAGTCCCTGAGACTCTTATCTCCAAAAAACCATCAGAAAACTGGAAGTGGTGCTGTGGCTCAAGTGGCAGAGTGTTAGCCTTGAGCTGAAGAGTTCAGAGATAGAGAGACTCAGAGACAGGCCAGAAGGACAGAGTGACAGATTCAGTAAATAAAGAGTGCCATCCCTCCCCACTTCTGCCCTGCCCTCTCCCCTTACCTACCCCCTCCCCACTCACCTGGCACATACAAGCTGTGTTGGGGATCATGGCCTGTGGTGGGGGTCAGAGGGACAGCATCTTGGAGCCAGAGAAGGTTCACAGGTTCTGGGGGACCCTGGGCCTGGCAGCTCAGGTTGAAGGGGACATTGGCAGCCACAACTTTGTCTTCAGGCTCCTTCAGGAAGTAAGGCAGGCCTGGTATGGGGGACAGGAGGAGAGGCTGGGGTCCCTCTGAATAAACTTGGGCTACCCCCCACTATGGAGTGTTTGACCTGTTCCCCTACTTTTCTGCTTCTCCAGGACATCTGAACCTCCTTCAGTTTCTTTTATTTTTAAGTAATTAATTTTCTGTGTATGTGGTACTGAGGAGTGGAACCCAGGGCTTCATGCATGCTAGGCAAGCGCTCTACCACTGAGCCACCTTCCCAGCCCTCCTTCGGTTTCTACCCTTACAATGCATGATCCTCACATCTGTTTCCCTCATGTCTGACCTTTAAGGTCTGTGTGGGTGTGTGGGTGTGCACATGCACACACACACATGCCAGTCCCGGGGCTTGAACTCAAGACCTTGTGTTCTCCCTTAGCTTTCTCCATGAAGACAGGTGCGCTACCACTTGAGCCATACCTTCATTTCCACTTTTTTTTTTTTGCTGGTTAATTGGAGATGAGTCTTGAGGATTTGTCTGCCCTGACTGGCCTTGAACCAAAAATCCTCATTAACTCAGCCATCTGAGTGACTAGAATTTACAGGAGTAGATTCTATCCACAAGGTATCTGACTGCTTTTGTTGGGTGCCTGTAATCCTATCTATTAAGGAGGCTGTGATCTGAGGATGGTGGTTTGAAGCCAGCCTAGGCAGCAAAGGCCATGAGACTCCAAGAACCACCAGAAAACCAGAAGTGGTGCTTGGCTGAAAGTCATAGAGCTCTAGCCTTGAATGACAAAGCTCAGGGACAGTGCCCAGGCTCTGAGAAGCCCCACAACTGATCAAAAAAAAAAAATCTGACTGTGACTCCTCAATGAATCAATCATTAATTAATTCACTGACAATTATTTTATCTGTTTATTTATTTATTTTTATTTTATGTTATCTTTTGTCAGTCATGGGGCTTGAACTCTGGGTGCTGTCCCTGAGCTCTTCTGCTCAAGGCTAGTGCTCTACCACTTGAGCCACAGTGCCACTTCTGGTTTTCTGCGGGTTTATCAGAGATAAGAGTCTCACGGACTTTCCTGCCCAGGCTGGCTTTGAACTGTGATCCTCAGATCTCAGCCTCCTGAGTAGCTAGGATTACAGGCCTGAGCCACTGGTGCCCGGCTTCTATTTACATTTTTAATTTTTTCTTTTTTAATTTTTTATGTTAAAGATGATGTAAAGAGGAGTCACAGTTACCTAAGTCAGGTAAAGTATAGATTTCTTTTTGGACAATGTTCTTCCTTCTCTCCCTCTTTGCCAGTTTTTCCTTCCTGTCCCTACCCGCAAGCCAAAAATTTAGAGACCTACTCTGGCTATGTAAGCTGAGGCTAGCCTCAATCTCCAGATCTTCCTGCCTCCATTTCCTGAGTGTTGGGATTGTATGTGTGCACCACCATGCCAGGCTTTCCTCATCTCATTTTACAGATGAGGAAAGCAGCGAGGTTCCCCAGGAGTGGGGAAGAGTAGAAGAGTTAAGTCATGTGCCTCTGATTTCTAGATGCTTCTACTTACTCCAATCATGCCTGACTCTCCCCCCACAAAAAGAAAAAATGTTGAATGCCTTCTCTTCCAGGATATAATCCTCCTATACCTGCTCCCCCATAACTGGACACCCCTAACTTCCCAAGATCATTAGCATATGTGCCCTAGAAAGGCACAGCAAATTCTGTAGTGCCTGGTGAATTCTCAGGACTGTGCCCCCAGCACTCACCTTCCAGCCCAACGTAGCCAGGCTGGGACATGAAAGTCTGTCCTCCAAGAGTCACCAAACATTGGTACCGTCCTGTATCTGCAGGCTTCAGGGAGAAGATTCTGGAAGGGAAGAGGAGGATCAGAGAAGTTGAGGATCTGAGCTGGAGGCTGGTGGTGGTGGTGGTGGTGGGGGTGTCCCCCAGAACTGAAGGAGGGGAGGCAGTGGGGAGGCAGAGGGTGTCTGGACAGAAAGGTCACAGAAAGATATTTTTAGTTCATTTTACAGAAGAAGAACATGAAACTCAGGAGTGTCATCATAAGCGGAAAGCCAGACTGGGGTTCTACGTCCCCCCATGGCGTGACTGAGCAGCTGGGGGGGTGGGGTGTGGTGGGGGAGTGGGATCTGGGGGTGCCGAGGCTGGTCAGAGACATAGCACACCTTAGTTGGCTGACCACTTTCCAGTCGTCCTCCCAATCTTCACCCAGGGGTAACTGAATCTGGGTGCTGTCTGCCATCTGGAGGGTCTGTCCATCCCGAAGCCAGTCCACTTCGGGGGGCTCGCCGTGGATGCGGAGCTCACACCGAAGGGTCCCTGTGATTCCTCGGGCCCCAGTGATGTTCTCTGGACTTTGCAAAAATGGGTCCTCTGCTTCAGCCTGTGCACCTGCTGAGAAGCAAGCAAAGGGATGGGAAGGAGCTGAGGGACCCCCCCTCCCCACCCAGGAAGAGGGGGCACCAGGGCCCTGCCAGCTCTCCCTCACCAGGCCCCTTCCAGGCCCTTCAGCTTACATAGTTGTGGGGTGACCTCAGAGTGCGGGGTGGGAGTGGAGGGTGGAGGCTTGGGAGAGGATGAGAGTCTTCCCAGGGGACCAAGGGCCAGTGTCCATCTATCCTGTGGGATCTGGGTGGCTTCCCATGCCCCAGGGCTGCCTGTCAGGGCTGCCCTCTGATCTTTGGATTTCCCCCCCTCCCCAAGACTTTAACAGATCGGGATGGTGGGCAGAGGAGGGGAAAAAAAGGGGCTGGGATGGAGAGAGAGACAGACAGAGACAGAAAGCGACAGAAATAAAGAGACAGAGACAGACAAAGAGAAAGAGACAAGAAACACAAAGAGTCATAGCCACTCCTTCCCTTCAGTGGGAACACAAGTGTTTAAGGGGGGGCTGTAAGACAGTGGCAAAGGGACCCCCAGAACTTCACATTCTACGCCATCCCTCTGTCTGCCTCAGCGGCCCTGTGGGGGAAGTTTCGATCCTGTTTCCTTAGATCCCCACGTCAGCTTCTTGTAAAGTTAACCTTGATCCATCGCTCAGCTTTTCCTGTCCATCTGTCTGTCTATGTCTTCTGCCTCTGCCCCCCACCCCCGCAGTTTCTGTTTCTTTTCCTTCTGTTCCTCTGTCTTCTTTTTCTCCCTCCAATGCCTGTCCTAGCATGTCTGTGTGTCCTTCCGTCTCTCTCCCTCTTTCTAAGTCTCTGCTGCTTCCAGGAAATGTCTCTAAGCTAAAAGTCTGGCATCTCCAACCACCTGTCATCCAGTCCCCCACCCCTCCACTGGTCTCCACAAGACCCCCAGCACTCACCCTCGGGGGCTGCATAACCCCAGTAGGACAACGCCAAACACCACACTAACGGGATTCTGCCCATCCTTTGGGTCATCAGCACACGAGAGAGATCCGAAGCCAAACTTTTTCTTCCCAACTTGCTGGACGCCTCCCGGAGGGGGGAGGGGGCAGGGCCAGGCTGTTCCCGGCCCTCCCCCCCAAGCTCCGGGCTCCCTGGGGACTTGGCACTGCCCACGCTTGGCACAGCAGGAGCCCCTCGCCTTGGCTCTGCTTCTCCAACAACCACCTTCCCCCAAGCTTGAGCCACTGACTGCCTCCTTCCCTTCCCAGCGCTGGCTCCTTCTCTTCCTCCCTAAACTTTGGGGCAACCCTTTCCCCGCCTCACACAGGGCCTCCCCCCTCTTTCCTCCGCCCACCAGGCTATAGCCTAAGGGGCCACCTGGACATCCAAGGGTTAACTCCTGGAGTTGAGGACAAACCCAGTCTTAAAGGAGCCTAGGAAGGAGCCTGGGAAGAAAGGGGGAAGGGGATCCAGATGGTTATGCTCCCAGTTTTGGCCCCCCCCAGGGGAAGTAAGGCTAAAGGCTATGCGTCTGGGCGCTGTCCCTCTTAAGTCTCTTTTTGGGTCTGGTAATCAACATTCCGGCAGAACTCCACTCCCTGAAGCTGGTGACGTCCCCCTTTCCCTCTGCCTCCACCCCCAACCCAGCCCCCAGCCAGGCCTCTCCTCCTCCTGGCTACTCCCCCTCACACTCATGCACACACACAGACACACACACATATACACACACACACACACACACACATACACCACACAAGGCTAGGACAAGCAGAGACACGCAGGGGCACAATGCCTGCCCAGGGCCACTCACAGACAAGCTGGGTCAGGAGCTTACTGCCTGGGAAGGGGAGGGGAGGGGAGGGGAGTGGGCTTGGAAATCTTAGCAATGAAAGCTTTGGTTGGGGTGGCATCATTTGGGGGACACTCCTTGGAGGAAGTGGCGACATGGATGCTCAGAGATGTCAAAGCCAGCCGGATGCTGGTGGCTCAGGCCTGCAAATCCCAGCTACTCAGGAAGGGGGTGAGTGCTGAGAATTGTGGTTCAAAGCCAGCCTGCACAGGAAAGTCCATGAGGCTCTTATTCCCAATGAACCAGCAAAAAAAGACAGAAGTGGAGCTGTGGTTCAAGTGGTAGAGCACCAGCCTTGAGTAAAAAAGCTCAGGGACAGCACCTAGGCTTTGGGTTCAAGCCCCATGACTGGCACGTGAGTGCGTACACACACACACACACACACACACACACACACACACACACACAGAGAAATGCCCAGAAAGGCCATATTCACCATACCTTAAGGTGTCCACAGGCTCTACCTGAAAGCCTAACCGTAAGCCCTAGCAGTTTGAAGGCAGGTCAGTAACCAGCCTCTGGGGTCTCAGTGTGTCCAGCCATCAGATAGGGCTAACACAGGTTCCAAACAGTGGCCAACAGAGGTTCACGCATGCGCAGTTTCTCTCCCACTGATGTGGGGCACGCAGCTTAGGCAGTGCACGCTTTCACCCTTATGTGGGGCTGGGTCCGCACATGCGCAGTTTCTTACCCTTACCTGGGGAACATAGCTTGGTACCCAGGACTCTCTGCACTTGTGCCTCCACAGGGATTGTACATCCTGTGCCCCCCTGGCTCCCCCACCCGGACCCTGCAGGGCTTTTAGTAGCAGGCCTCCTGTGTTTGGCACAAGATGACCCTGTGCCCGCCTGAAAATGGGAGGAAAGTTTAGCATCCCTGCCTCTGTCACCATCTGTGACCTTAACTGGGGCTCTGTCTCCTGTAATCCCTTCGGAATCCAGCGACAGCACCTGTAGACCACCTCTTGTGACAAGAGCTGAGCACCCTGTCCAACAAAAGAGGCTGAACTTTTCTAGCCAGCCACCCTCAAGTGACATCATTGTCTGTCACAGGGCCCCTTGCAAACCAGATTTGACGTAACAGCCAGCTAGGCTGAGCTTCACCTGGGGCTGATCACAAAAATTCTTTTCTGTTCTTTTTAAGTTGGTAGTAGGGCTTGAACTCAGGACCTGGGTGCTGTCCCTGAGCTCTTCTGCTCAAGGCTAGTGCTCTACCACTTCGAGCCATAGCTCGACTTCTGGTTTTTGGATGGATAGTTAATTAGAAATAAGAGTCTTGTGGACTTTCCTGCCGAGGCTGGAAAGTTCGAGCCTCAATCCTCCTGAGTAGGTAGGATGGATGACAGGCATGAGCTACCAGTGCTCTCTGTCTGTGTCTCTTCTCTCTGTCTCTCTGTCTCTCCTTGAAGCAGCCCCCTGCTGATGGCTCACACCTGTCATCCTAGCTACTCAAGAGACTGAGATCTAAAGATCACGAGTCATAGCCAGCCTAGGGGCTGGGATGTAGCTCAGTGGCAAAGCACTTGCCTAGCAAGTGCAACATCCTGAGTTCAATGCCCAGTACCAAAAAAGAAAAAGACCAAAAACCAAAATTACAGTTAAAAAAAAACAACCCAACAACACAAAACTAACTTGGGCAGAAGAGTTTGCTGGACTATTATCTCCAAATTTAACTTAGTTCAATTTAAGTAAGAATTCAAATCTATATATCATTAGCTATCATTTTCTTCTGGCTAACATCTGGACAGTCATAGTGCAAGGCCATCCTGGGCAGGAGTTTTGTAAGACTCCATATCTAAGATAGTCAGCAGCCCAAATCAAGGCTGGAGATGTGGCTTAAGTGGCGCAGCATCAGCCTTGAGTGGAAAAAGTCAAATGAGAGTATGTAGCCCTGAGTTCAAGACTCACTACCGATATTACAACAGCTGAGCTAGATGAACAGGTCGACAGACCTGTCACCAAGCATGCAGCTGAACCATGGGAAAATCTGGGACACAGGCCTGGTGTTCTCTATCAATTCCCTCAGTTCTGCTGTGTGTGTGTATAGTGTTTCCAGAATATAGCCAGGCTTTGGTGGCTCATGCCTATAATCCTAGCTACTCAGAAGGCTTAGATCTGAGGATCGCTGTTCAAAGCCAGCCCGGGCAGGAAACTCCATGAGACTCTTATCTCCAATGAACCACCAGAAAACTGCGAGTGATGCTGTGGCTTAAGTGGTAGAGTGTTAGCCTTGAGCTGAAGAGTTGAGGGACAGTACCCAGGCCCAGAGTTCAAGCCCCCCCCCCACCAACAAAAAAGAAGTTGCCAGAAGAAAATGTTTGAAATAAATGCTTGTTCAATTATTTTCTGAGATTTGCCTTACCATAACTTTAAATGAATGATAGATAAGCCAGGTGCCAGGGGCTCATGCCTGTCATCCTAGCTACTCAGGAGGCTGAGATCTGAGGATCATGGTTCAAAGCCAGCCGGGGCAGAGAAAGTACCTGGAAGTGGTGCTATGGCTCAAGTGGTAGAGCACTAGCCTTGAGTGAAAAAGCTAAAGGGATCCAGGCGCTGGTAGCTCACGCCTGTAATCCTGGCTACTTAGGAGGCTGAGATCTGAAGATCATGGTTCAAAGTCAGTCGGGGCAGGAAGTCTGTGAGACTCTTAATCTCCAATAAACCACCAGAAAACCAGAAGTGGTGCTGTGGCTCAAGTGGCTCTTGATCTGATGAGCGCAGGGACAGCACCCAGGCCCAGAGTTCAAGCCCCAAGCTGGACAAAAAAAAAAAAGAAAAAGAAAAAGAAAAAGCTAAAGGGCATTGCTGAGGCCCTGAGTTCAAGCCCAAGACCTGCACACGCATAAGTGCATGCGCGCCCGTACACACACACACACACACACACACACACACACACACACACACACACATACACCAGATGAAATAAAAAGAGGTTATTTGATTTTAAATCTTTGCCTAGATGAAGCCTCTCCCCTGTCCAGCAAGCACTGTGTCCCTAAACCACCTACTCAAGTGGAGTTGATGACAATTAATGAAACTGGGCCAGGACAAGGGGTGGGGTAGGGTGGGGGGGTAGAGATGGGAGGAGGGGGTCCATCCCATCGTTTGACCTTCGGGATATGTGTTCAAACTTCCGCACTTGATAATTTGGTTTCCTAGTGAATGCAAGGCAGGAGATAGCCGGGGAAGGGGGCCAAGAGGCCAAAGTGGCCAAAGTGGTGGTGGTGGGGGGGAGAGGGGCTCCAGATGAAGCATCTGGAGGGTCTCATTCTATTGGCTTTAGACTCTTCCCACCCTGCAACAAAGAAAGTAGAACAGTCCCAGCCCCATCCCTCCCGGCTCCCCTCTGGCCCTCCCCCTCCCCGCCCCCACTCCCCACAGCTCCACATCTGCTTCTGAGGTCAACAGCCAGAGTGGGTGGTGACCATATTTTTCAGCTCCCGCCTGGCCTCTAGGGAGGGGCGGACTCCCTCATCCCCACCTCTTCTTTACTACAACCAGACACCCCTTGCACAAGTACTCAGGGCCCTGTCTGGGGAGCAGGAGGGGATGGGGAGGAGAAACAAGCATTTCTAAAAAACAAAAACAACCCCTACAATCCCCACACCAGGGACCTTTAATCCTAAACAGTTTGCATCTGGCCTTTTCTGTGACACAGGGTTTGAACCTGGCCACTGCTTAGGGCTTTACCCCTTTGCACGGGGTCTAAAATGCAGAGTAGGATCTGTGGATGTGGATGGCAGTGTGTGTGTGTGTGGGGGGGGGGGTGTGCATGGAGGGGTGGAGCTATAGCCCTTGATTAATTAATTAATTTTGTGCTGGTCATTGGGCTTGAACTCAGGGCTTAGGCGCTATCCCTGAGCTATTTCGCTCGTGGGTGATGTTCTACCCCTTGAGCCACAGCTCTACTTTGGGCTTTTTATTTTTGTCAGTCATGGGGCTTGGACTCAGGGTCTGGACTCTGACCCTGAGCCTTTTAACTCAAGGCTAGTGTTCTACCACAGCACCGCTTCCTGTTTTCTGGTGGTTCATTGAAGGTAAGAGGCTCATGGACTGTCCAGGCTGGCTTTGAACTGTGATCCTCAGATCTCAGCCTTCTAAGTAGGTAGGATTACAGGAATGAACCACAGGCACTGGGTTGGAGCCCCTATTAATATTCCATAAGCAGGGATGGGATGGTCATGTTCCTTGGGTCTGAGTGGTTTGTGTCCAAATTCTATGGATAGCTGGGTGTATCAGTACATTCCTGTAATTCCAGCCTTTGGGAGTTCAAAGCCAGCTGTACTGTATGGAAAAACTTCATTCCCGCCAAGTGCTGGTGGCTCACCCCTGTAATCCTATCTACTCAGGAGACTGAGATCTGAGGATCATGATTCAAAGTCAGCCTGGGCAGAAAAGTCCATGGGACTTTTACCTCCAATTAACCACCAGAAAACTAGAAGTGGCACTGTGGTTCAAGTGGTAGAATGCTAGCCTTGAGTTGAAGAGCTAAGGGACAGGGCCCAGGCCCAGAGTTCAAGCCACACAACGGACCAAACCAAACTAAACCAACCCAACCCCCCTTATCCTCCACAGCTCCGATCCAACAAAAACCCAAACCCAGGAAATGGAGGTATGGCTCAGGTGGTAGGGTGGGCAGCCAGTGAGCAAAAGCAAGCATCAGATATGGAGTTGGAGTCCCAGTCTTGGACAAAAAGAAAAGAGCCAAATACTAAAACCCAAACACACAAACAAAAACCAAGGAGGAAAGAATTGTATTTGGGACAGTAAGTTACAAAAAAAGGGGCTTGAGGATGGTGTTGGATGATCAAAGGGCAGAGAGGGGGCTGGGGATTGCTTCAGTGGTCCAAGGAGGTCTGAGCAGAAAGCTGCTAGGGGGGGGGCGAGATGGTGCTGTGAGTGGACAGTGCATGATATGATTGGCGTGAGTGGCCGGTGCCCAGCGATGGCATCATTAATTGGCAATGAAGGCAGGATGGAGGGCTGTAAAGCTAGAGAGTTGTTTATGTGGGTTGTGAACACACAGAGTCACACGGCATGGGTGACCGGTGTATTATCTGTGCATATACTCAATGATCCCAGATGGACTCTGTTCATAGTAGCACACGCCTGTAATCCTCCTCCTCCTACATCAGGAGAGGTCAACAGGCCGGACCTGCAGCTGGAAGGTGGCAGGAATATTGAAAAGGCCGCTGATGGCCGGCTGGAGACTCAGGGCACTGGGTGAGCATGGGCTCTCGAGGGAGAAGGCCTGCAAGATGGCGGTGAAGAAGAGAAAGAGCTCGGCCCGTGCCAGGCCCTCCCCGAGACACACGCGTTTGCCTGGCAAGGAAAGAGACAGGACTGAGTCATGGCTGTTCCCGACCCGGCCTGCAGGGGGAGCCAGCAGGAGTCCTGGGGACCCAACGGTGTCAGCCCTCTGCTTAGATTCCAGGGTCAGCAGATACCTAAGGAGAAAGGCAGGAAGGCCTCAGGCTTCCGGAACTTTCCATCTGCATCCAGGAAATGGCCTGGGTTGAACTCTTCTGGTTGCTTGAAGAAGTTGGGGTCATGTAAGACAGAGCCAAGAAGAGGGAAGACCTCAGTGCCCTGAGGGGACAAGAAAACATCTCACAGTCCCGAGATCCCAGTGCTAGTCAGGCACACCCCCAAATCCCCAAATCAGTGTTGATCACGGACAGCCATGGGTGTGATCTCACAGATGACACTTGCGCTCCCTCTCTCTCTCTCCCTCTCCCCCCTTTCTTCATTGAGTCTTTTGAGGTAATTATGGATAATATCCCCATTTTAAAGATGGGGTAACCAGGTATGGTAGTGTGTACTTGTAATCCCAGCCCTCAGGGTGCTAAGGAAAAAGGACTGCAGATTCTTTCCTTCCTTCCTTCCTTCTTTTTTTTTTTTGTCAGTCGTGGGGCTTGAACTCTGGGCCTGGGCGCTGTCCCTGCACTCTTCAGCTCAAGGCGAGTGCTCTACCACTTCACCCACAGCAACCACTTCCAGTTTTCTGAGTGGTTTATTGGAGCTAAGAGTCTCATGGATTTTCCTACCCAGGCTGGCTTTGAACAGTGATCCTCAGATCTCAGTCTCCTGAGTAGCTAGGATGACAGGCATGAGGCATAAGTCACTGGCACCTGGCTGTCTCCAAGGAGCCACCAAAAAAAAAAAAAAGAAAAAAAAGAAAAGAAAAGCAAAAAAAAATCTGGAAGTAAGTTGGTAGCTCAAGCAATAGAGCGAGAAAGAAAGAAAGAAAGAAAGGAAAAGAAAAGGGAGACTGAGGCTTAGGGTGAGGGTGGTTCACGTCTGTCATCCTAGCTATTCAGGAGGCCGATATCTGAGAATCCTGTTTCAAAGCCAGCCTGGGCAGGAAAATCCCTGAGACTCTTATCTCCAATAAACTACCAAAAAGTTGGAAATGGAGCTGTGGCTCAAGTGGTAGAGTACCAGCCTTGAGTGGAAAAGGCCAAGTGGGCTGGGAAGATGGCTCAGTGGTAGAGTGCTTGCCTTGCATGCCTGAGGCCCTGGGTTCGATTCCTCAGCACCACATAAGCAAAAAAGAAAAAAGCCGGAAGTGGCGCTGTGGCTCAAGTGGTAGAGTGCTAACCTTGAGCTGAAGAGCTGAGGGACAGCGCCCAGGCCCAAAGTTCAGGCCCCATGACCGGACCCCCCTCCAAAAAAAAGAAAAGGCCAAGTGAGAATGTGAGGCCCTGAGTTCAAACCTTAGTATGGGCACAAAAATCATAATGAAGTCCATCTCTGCAGAATGTCTGAGACCACTTTTTCCGCAGCTTGAGTCTTTGAAGCAGGGAAACAAGGCTCCTCCTGCCCAAAATTTGGTACATGTAGCTCAGAGCTCCTCTGTTCCTGGGGTTTCTCCATATAGAGGAAAGGCAGGTAGGGTAGGGTGGGGTCGGGGAATTGTGCTCATTGGGCTTGGGGGGACCCCAGGAATAGCTAGGGCCTTGTTAATGCTGTTAGAGTAAACAAAAGACAGGGGGTGTTTAGCTACAGGGTAGACTTTCCTGGGCTCCATGGCTGGGTAAACATAAGTTATCTGCCAGGCGTTGGCAGCTCACGCCTGTCATCCTAGCTACTCAAGAGGCTGAGATCTGAGGATCACGGTACAAAGTCAGCCTGGGTAGGAACGTCCGTGAGACTCTTATCTCCAATTAACCACCAGAAAACCGGAAATGGCACTGTGGATCAGGTGGTAGAGTGCTAGCCTTGAGCTGACGAGCTGAGGGACAGAGCCCAGGCCCAGAGTTCAAGACCCACAGCTGACAAGAAACAACCACCACCACCACAAAACCATAAAAAGTTTTCTAACTTTGAGAACTTGGTTTCCTCACCTGGAATGTGCACACGATGACGGTGCAGGGTCACAGAGAGAAAACTGACGTATGGGAGGGACTGGAAGTCTTGCTGTGAGTGTGGTTGGACACCCATGATTTTGCTGTCATGACCTATTACCACTGCCCTGGACCTAGAATACCTCCTGGCCCCTGCCAGCCGGAGCTGACTTGATGCTTTACAGGCATTTTCTTACAGCTCCGAGTTCACATCATTATTGCTTCTAATTTAGAAAAAGGAGGACAGGAAAATGGAGTCTTCCGTGAAGCCGCATCTTAACGAGAAATAGCAGAGCTCCGAGTAGTTTAGCTGCCAGGATCTGGGATACAGCACCCCCTGGTGGTGGCATGTTGGAATTGGCTCTCCAATGAAATGGGAGAAGAGAGGAGGTGGAGGGAGAGAGAGAGGAAGAGAGAGGAGAAAAAGAGAAGGGGGAGAGAGGGAAGAGAGGAGAAAGAGAGAGGAGAGAAAGACAGGGATTAGAAAAGGAGAAGGAGGAGTGGGAGGGAGGGGAAAAGAAGGGAGAGAGGAAAAGATGGAGGGAGAGATAGGAGAGAGGGAGAAAAAGGGAAGGAGAGAAAGAAAAAGAGGAAAGAGAGGGGAAAAAGGGGAAAAATATGGAAGAAGAGGGGGGAGGGAGAGGTGGAAAGAGGGAGGGAGGGAGAAAGAGGGAAGGAAGGAAAGAGGTGTTGACAGGGGAGACAGACAGACAGTTCAGATGTACTGGGCTGAGGCCACTGCACACCTACCTGGGGCAGGGTGTACCCCCGGAAGTGGGTGGTCCTTGTGAGGGTGTGGGGGATGCCCATGGGCACCAGGGCCAGCAGCCGCTGGGCTTCGTGCAGGACAGCGTCGGTGTAGGGGAGGCGGGCACGGTCACCCAGGCTGGGGGCCCGGCTGCCCCCCAGCTCCTGTGCTAGCTCCTCACGCACGCGCTCTATGTGGGACAAGAGGGTTGAGGTTCAGGGGTGGGGGGGACCCCGCAATTCTCCTCTCAGAAGTCTCATCTTCTTTGGGTAGCAGTCATTTGGAGGTGAGGCTAGCAAAGGGGGACAGGCCTGGCCAGACTTGAATGTGGGTGCTTGCATCTAAATCCCACTAGTAATGGTGCTTGTGGGTACCCTCCAATTTTAGCCTCCATTTTCCTGATGAGGAAACTGAGGCCCAGAGGTCCTGGTCTAAAGTCACAATTGGGGGCTGGGAAGGTGGCTCAGTGGTAGAGCGCTTGCCTTGCATGCATGAGGCCCTGGGTTCGATTCCTCAGCACCACATAAGAAAAAAGAAAAAAGTCGGAAGTGGCACTGTGGCTCAAGTGGTAGAGCGCTAGCCTTGAGCTGAAGAGCTGAGCGACAGCGCCCAGGCCCAGAGTTCAGGCCCCATGACCAGACCCGAAAAAAAAAAAAGTCACAATTGCTCCTGCCCATTGTCACCCAGTCTCATTTTCTTTTTCTTTCTTTCTTTTTTTTTTTTTTTTTGGGTCCGGTCGTGGGGCCTGAACTCTGGGCCTGGGCGCTGCCTGTCGGATCTTCAGCTCAAGGCAAGCGCTCTACCACTGAGCCACCTTCCCAGACCCACCTAGTCTCATTTTCAAGGCCACAAGCCACCTCTTTGGCTTGTGCATTGAACACAGCTGCCAAACTTGAAAATACTGGAGTTTTGGGGGTTCCTTCTTAGCCCTGCCTGGGGTCCACACACCTCCTTCTCCACTGGTGTACTGGTATTCCTTTTTTTTTTTTGGGTAGGTTGTAGGGCTTGAACTCTAGGCCTAGGTGCTATCTCTGAGCTCTTCAGTTCAAGGCTAGCACTCTACCACTTGAACCACAGCGCCACTTCTGATTTTCTGGTGGTTAATAGGAGATCAGAGTTTCATGGATATTCCTGCCTGGGCTGGCTTTGAACCTTGATCTTCAGATCTCAGCCTCCTGAGTAGTGAGGATTACATACAGGCATGAGCCACCAGCACCCGGCTCTGGTACTCCTTTAAAAAATTTTTTCTTGGGCTGGGAAGGTGGCTCAGTAGTAGAGTGCTTGCCTTGCATGCATGAGGCCCTGGGTTCAATTCCTCAGCACCACATAAGCAGAAAAAGCCAGAAGTGGCACTGTGGCTCAAGTGGTAGAGTGCTCGCCTTGAGCTGAAGAGCTGAGGGACAGCGCCCAGGCCCAGAGTTCAAACCCAGAACTGGAAAGGAGGACATGTCTGTCACTTCTGGGTCCTCAAAACTCAGTATAGGAGGGGCTGGGAAGGTGGCTCAGTGGTAGAGCGCTTGCCTTGCATGCATGAGGCCCTGGGTTCGATTCCTCAGCACCACATAAAGAAAAAGCTGGAAGCGGTGCTGTGGCTCAACTGGTAGAGCACTAGCCTTGAGCTGAAGAGCTGAGGGACAGTGTCCCGGCCCAGAGTTCAGGTCCCATGACCGACAAGAAAAAAAAAGTTTTCTTTGGTGCTAGTCCTGGGGTACTTTGGTACTCAGGGCCTGGGCACTGTCTCTGAGCTTTTTCACTCAAAGCTAGTACTCTACCAGTTGAGCACAGCGCCACATCTGACTTTTTGCTGATTTATTGGAGATAAGAGTCTAATGGGCTGGGGTGCTGGTGGTTCAGGCCTGTAATCCTATTCAGGAGGCTGAGATCTGAGGATCGCAGTTTGAAGCCAGCTGGGGCAGGAAAGTCCATGAAACTCTTTTTTTTTTTTTTCCCAATTATCCCCTAGAAAACTGGAAGTGGCACTGGAAGGGTAAGTGGTAGAGTGCTAGCCTTGAGCAAAAGAACTCAGGGACAGTGCCCAGGCCTTGAATTCAAACCCCAGGACTGATAAAAAAAAAAAAATCTCATGGACTTTCCTGCCCCAGCTGGCTTCAAACTGTGGCTCCTCTGATATTAGCCTCCTGAGTAGCTAGGATGAGAGGCTTTAGAAGCCACTCTTACTTTGAATGTGAGGGTATTTCAACAGCAGCAGGAGGGCATAGCAGATGGTGGAGCTGATGGTTTTAGTCCCAGCAAACAGCAGGTAAGTGACTGTCATCAGCAAATTCTTCTCTGTGAATTCCGTGCGTGGGTCTTTTTCTTCCTGGGAGAAGCCAGAGAGAGGGAGGAGGCTCATCAGAAAATACAGTCAGAGCCTAATGGAGTCAGGCTGGGCTGGGTGAGAGTAGACCAGGAACGCTTTGTCAAATAAATGTTTTAAAATAAATGGGCAGCCGGGCGCCGGTGGCCTGTAATCCTAGCTACTCAGGAGGCTGAGATCTGAGGATCGGGGTTCAAAGCCAGCCCGGGTAGGAACGTCCGTGAAACTCTTATCTCCAATAGAAAACCAGAAGTGGCGCTGTAGCTCAAGTGGTAGAGCGCTTGCCTTGAGCTGAAGAGCTGAGGGACAGCGCTCAGGCCCAGAGTTCAAGCCCCACAACCAAAAAAAAAAAAAGGGCAAAGTTGTGAGGTAGTCTCCTGATAGTAGCTCATTTTAGCTGAAAACAAAGTTGTTCTTTTTTTTTTTTTTTAATTGAAAGAGAATGGTTTGTATCAGGTGCTAGTGGGGAGCTAGTGGCTCATGCCTGTCATCCTAGCTACTCAGGAGGTTGAGATCAGAGGATCACCATTCAAAGCCAGCCTGAGCAGGACAGTCCATGAGACTCTTATCTTTAACCACCAGAAAACCGGAAATGGTGCAGTGGCTCAGGTGGTAGAGCGTTCGCCTTGAGCTGAAGAGCTTAGGGATAGTGCCCAGGCCCAGAGATCAAGCCCTATGACCACCACCACCAACAACAAAAAGGAAAAAAAGAAAAAAGTAACCAGGCATGGTGACATACACCTGTAATCCCAGCACTTTGGGAGGCAGAGAAAGGAGGATCATGTGAGCTTGAGGCCAGCCAAGGCTACATATTGAGATCCTGCCTCAAAATACTCAAAACAAATAATAAGAAAAGAAAACACATGCAAATACACACACAGGCACACAAACACACACACACACATACACAGATCTTGAAAAAGTAAAAATAAAAACAGGAATAATAATTTTAAAAAACCCCAGCCAGCCTGGGAAGGAAAGCCTGAGAGACTCTTTTTTTTTTTTTTGTCGGTCGTGGGGCTTGAACTCTGGGCCTGGGCACTGTCCCTCAGCTCTTCAGCTCAAGGCGAGCGCTCTACCACTTGAACTACAGCGCCACTTCCCGTTTTCTGGTGGTGAGTCTCACGGTCTCTCCTGCCCGGGCTGGCTTTGAACTGTGATCCTCAGATCTCAGCCTCCTGAGTAGCTAGGATGACAGGCGTGAGCCACCAGCGCCCGGCTGCCCAAGAGACTCTTATCTCCAGTGAATCACCGAACAGCTGGAAGTGGAGCTGTGACTCTAGCGGCAGAACTCCAGCCTTGAGCACAAAACCTCAGGCACTGCGCCCAGGCCTCAGTCCACCCCAGGAATGGTCATCCAATAACTCTAGCTATCCAGGAGATGGAGACAGTAGGATTAAGGTTGCAGGTCAGCCCAGCAACGTTTACCCGGGACCACAAATACCATTTTAAATCACGAGCTTTCCCAATGAAATGATGGCCATTCATATACAATTCACTGACTGTGTGGATGGGGAGTGGAGCAGGTAGCGGGGGAGGCTGATGGTGTGAAGCAATGGTGAGAATTGAAGGTGAGACTTGTAGGTATATACAGCCTGAACTCAGGGCCCCACAAAAGGAAGGTGGAGGAGGAAAAGGAGGAGGAGGAGTAGGAGGAGGAGGAGGAGGAGGAGGAGGAGGAGGAGGAAAAAGAAGAAAGAGGAGAAGAAAGAGAAGGAAGAGGAGGAAAAGAAGGAGGAGGAGAATGAGGAGGAGGAAGAGGAAGAGGAGGAGGAGGAAGAGAAGGAGGAAGAGGAGGAGGAGGAGAAGAAGAAGGAGGAGGAAAAAGAAGGAGGAGAAGGAGAAAGAGAAGGAAGAGGAGGAAAAGAAGGAGGAGGAGAATGAGGAGGAGGAAGAGGAGGAGGAGGAAGAGGAGAAGAGAGGAAAAATAGGCAAGTGAGGAAAGGGCCAACACTTGGGGAGGGGGGGTGCGATGTCACAGGGGCCTGAAGGGAGAGACAAGATCCCCAGGGACTCTCAGCCCAAGCCCCGCCCCCATCCCCCTGCACCTGCGCCATCTTGAGCAGGAAGGCGTCCACCAGGTCTCTGGCAGGACCCGAGGTGGCCAGGCTCTCCTGATGTCTCTGCACTTGATTCACCACGAAGGCAGCCAGCGTGGCTAAGTGGCACTGGAGCTGTTTGTGGGGGCCGGGCAGGCGCTGCAGGAGCCACGAGAACATCTCATAGGCCTGGTGGGGGTGGAGGTGGGAGGGAAGAGAGGTGGTTCTCAAAGGGGGCCTGGCAGGAATCCCTGGGGCAGGGGGCTGGCGCAGGGTCCCCCCATACTCACCTGGCCCCAGGGGGAGCTGACCCCTCGCAGGGTCCCATCGGCAGCCTGGACCACAGCCCGGAACTCCTCATCCTCATAAGGGAAGCGGAGGCCGAAGATGAGGGAGCAGGTGATGTTAGCAGTGGCCTGGGCCAGCAGGAGGGAGGGGTCGAAGGGCTGTCCTGTGGGGGTGGTGAGGGGAGGGAAGGGGGTGATGGAGCTGGGCACAGGGAAGCCCCAACGAAGCAGATGTACCATGAAGAGACAGACAGATGGACAGACAAAGATGAAAAAGGCTGCCTGTCACCTAGCTACTGGGGGAGGCTGAGATCTGAGGATCCCAATTCGAGGCTAGCCAAGACAGGCACATCCGTGAACCTCTTATCCCCAATAAGTTGCCTCAAAGCTGGAAGCAGAGCTTTGACTCAAGGGCTAGAGCCCAAGGCCTTCCCTCCTGCAGGTCCCCAGCACTGGGCTAGAGGTCACTCCCACATCCAGTGTGTGCCCCCCCCCCCCCCCCCGTGACCCCACACTGCTGACCTTCTGTGTTCTGGAATGCCTCCAGCAGACAGTGCACCTCAGACTGGATCAGCTCCTCGCCTTCTCGCTTCCCCATGCCCAGGTCCCGCAAGGCCAACAGCGTGAACTTCCTCAGCTGCCTCCACCGCTCCCCATTGGCGAAGAAAACCCCTGTGTGCCACGGCTAGACTCAAGAAGGGACTGGATCTTCCCTCCCAATGAGCTGCCTGCGTCCCTCTGTGCCTGATTTGAGAACTAAGGACACAGTAGGTGCTCAATCAACACACACCCCAACTGGCCTCCTCCATCCTCTAGCCCAAGGCCAGAGGGGACATGAATCTGGTCCTCTTATCCCTCCTACCTGTGCCTTCATCCCCAATCCCCACCCCAGGGCCCCACTTTGTGTCTAGTGGGTTCCCTCACCAGACTAGCAGCCTTCAGCTCTGCCCCTCCACAGCAATGTACTAATTCTATTCCAATTCTTATCAAAATTGACAGTTTCAGCCGAGCGCGGTAGCTCATACCTGTAATCCAAGCTACTCCAGGAGGCCGAGATAGGAGGATTGGGGTTTGAAGCTAGCCAGGGTAGGAAAAATCTGTGAGATTCTGATCTCCAATGACCCAGTAAAAACTCTGAAAGTTTGAGTCCCTCCCTCCCCTGTCTTATTTATTTATTTATTTTTGTAGGTCATGGGGGCTGAAATCTGGGCCTGGGCCCAGCCCCCTCCACTGACTTATGAAAAGCATTGTGTCCCACAGAAAGGAGGACATGTCTGTCACTTCTGGGTCCTCAAAACTCAGTATAGGAGGGGCTGGGAAGGTGGCTCAGTGGTAGAGCGCTTGCCTTGCATGCCTGAGGCCCTGGGTTCGATTCCTCAGCACCACATAAAGAAAAAAGCCGGAAGTGGTGCTGTGGCTCAAGTGGTAGAGTGCTAGCCTTGAGCTGAAGAGCTGAGGGACAGTGCCCAGGCCCAGAGTTCAGGCCAAGCATAGTGAGATTGTGGGGTGAAAAATTGTCCAAATTCCATGTTCTGCCTTGTCTTGCATTTCCTTCCTTCCCTTCCTTCTTCCCTCCTTCCCCTTTTCTCTTTTCCGTTGGTTATAGGGCTTGAACTCTGGGCCTTGGCTCTGTCCCTCTTTAACTCAAGACTAGTGCTCTACCACTTGAGCCACAGCACCACTTCCGGTTTTCTGAGTAGTTTACTGGAGATAAGAGTCTCATGGACTTTCCTCTCTGGGCTGGCTTTGAATGGTGATCCTCAGATCTCAGCCTCCTGAGTAGCTAGGATTATAGGGCTGAACCCCTGTTGCCTGCTTCCTCCCTCCCAGTCTTTTCTTTTGCCAGTACTAGAGCTTGAACTTACATCCTGAATACTATCCCTGAACTTATTTTTTCTTCTAAGGCTGGCACTTTACCACTTGAGCCACAGATTCACTTTTCCCCCTCCCTCCCTCCCCCCCCCCCCCCTCCTTCCTTCCCTCCTTTTTTCCTTCCTTCCCTCCCTTCCCCCTTCCTTTCTTCCTTCCCCCCCCCGCCATTTTTTGCTGGTTCATTATAAAGAGTCTCATTCATGGACTTTCCTGTGCTCAGGGTTGGCCTCGAATCTCAATCCTCCTATTTTAGCCTCCTGAGTAGGTAGGATGACAGGTATGATCTCCCTTATTCCTACTGTGCCTTGCCCTGCCCCAGCAGTGCCTGGCAGGGGATGTCTTAGCACAATGCATGGTTTCTAGGTTATGAGTGTTGGCCTATCCATCCCCAGAGCCCGGAAAGTTCCTCAGTCTTCCTTCCATGAGGATTTCTTAGCAAGCCCCTCCCTCTGTACAAGGCCCAGTCCCCCTGCAGTCCTCATCCGGGCCCTAGGACAGGAACCGCCCTTTCAGACATGGAATCTCAGGCCCTAAGCTGTGTGCAAGTCATGCACACACCTGTGTGTGGGGGTCACCTGGCTGTTCACTTACCGTGTCCGTCAAAAGTCCGGTCCAAGGTTTCCAGCCTTCCTCGCCCGTGGAATTCCTCGGCCTGATCTCCTAAGGCCTCATGGACAGCCTGGTGACCCACCAGCACCACCATGGGCCGCCAGGGACCCAGGTGCACCGTGAACACGGGCCCATACTTCTTACTCAGCTGGGGGTGCAGAGGGAGACAGTGTTGGGGTGAAGGGTACTGGGGCTGCCAGTGGAAAGCCGCTGTGGTCTTTCCTAACCTCCCCCCCCCACCTCCCCTCAAAAAAGCAAACCAAACTTTTCACTCTCCAGCTCAAAACTAGCTAATCCTCACTGGGTGCTAGTGGCTCATGCCTATCATCCTCACTGCTCAGGGGGCTGAGGTTTGGAGGATCGTGGTTCAAAGCCAGCCCAGGGAAGAAAGTCTGTGAGAATGTTTGGCCCCAATGAACCACTAGAAAAAAAAAAAAAGCCCGAAGTGGAGCTGTGGCTGTGGCTGAAGTAGTAGAGCATTAACCTTGAGCAACAAAAGTTCAGGGACAGCACCCAGACTCACAGATCAAACCCTAGGACTGATACACACCGACATACACACACAATGGATTTTTTTTTTTTTGCTAGTCCTGGGACTTGAACTCAGCTCCTGGGAACTATCCCAGAGCTTTTGTGCTCAAGGCTAGCATTCTACCACATAAGCTACAATGTCACATCTGGCCTTTTCTGTGTCTGTGGTACTGAGGAATTGAACCCAGGGTTTCCTGAAGGCAAAACACTCTACCACTAAGCCACATTCCCAGCCCCCCAAATCAAATCTTATCCATCCGTCTCCAGATGTCTCTGTCCTTCTCTGCCCCCTCCCCAACTTCTTAAGCTATACCTCCCACCCTCAGTCCTGCCCACACCCTCTCTCTGTGCCCTTGAAGTACCAGAGGGTTTGTGTATGTGTATGTGTGTGTGCAAGTGTCTCTGTCTGCAAGCGCGTGCATGCATGTGCGTGTGTGCATTTGTAACCAGTCCTGGGGCTTGAACCCAGTGACTGGGCGCCGTTCCTGAGCTTTTTCACTCAAAGCTACTGTTTTATCGCTTGAGTCACAGCTCCACTTCCGGCTTTTGGGTGGTTGATTGGAGATAGGAGTCTCACGGACTTGCCTGCCTGGGCTGACTTCAAACCACAATCCTCATATCTCAGCCTCGCTACCAGGGGTTCTTTTGGAATGGGGGAAGTATTTCCCCCTCCGCCCTGGCAGGTTGGGGCTGCCTTCTCCTCCCGACTTCCCATCCAGGTCTCAGGCACTTCTGGATCTCATCTTAGCTCCAGCTACAACCCATCCATCCTCCCCCTTGGGGAGGCTCTAAAGCAAATTCCTTCAGCCTGGGGCAGCAGCCTCCTTCCAGCCTGCAACAAGCCTCCAGATCTCCCTTTATCTCAGCTCTTCCCTCAAAAAGACTTCCTCTCAGCCAGGCACTAGTGGCTCACACCTGTAATCCTAGTTACTCAGGAGGCTGAAATCTGGAGGATCCTGGTTCAAAGCCAGCCAGGGCAGGAAGGTCTATCAGACTCTTCTCTCTAATGAACCAGTAAAAACAAAAACAAAAAACAAAAACTGGAAGTGGAGCTGTGGTTCAAGTGGTAGAGCACCAACCTTGAACAATAAAATAGCTCAGGGACAGTGCTCAAGCCCTAAATTCAAGTTCCAGGACTGGTAAAATAATTCCTCTCCTCCTGGCAACAAGCTCAGCTCAACCACATCAGCTACTCTTTCCCCCCCAGGGCTCTTCTCTCTCATCTGTGGTCCTCCCTTGCCCACCACTTTTTCCAGGGTGCTGTGGACCCCTCCCCACCTCCTGGATCCTGCTCCCCCAACTTTGGCCCCATTTAGAGGATTCTGTGGCTTCTCCTAGCCTAGGATCGTCTCTCTGCAGGACACCCCTTCCCTCTCAGCACCACTCCTGCCTAGAGGGTCCCCTTTGACGCTGAGACCCCTTGCACCTGCCTTCTTCTTTGCCTTAGCACTCAGGGGACCCTCCCCCCCACCACCTTGCTCCCTGCCCAGAGCCAGATCATTGCCTTGGGGACACCCTCCCCACCCCCAGCCAGGCTCACTCACCCGTATGAGCCCAGAGTAGATGGCCCCAGGACGCAGCTGGAAGAAGTTACCCAGTAGAGGCAGTGGCAGCAGTTTCCATCTCTGCAGGTCGACTCTCTCCCCTCCTCCCAGGGGCTGGGCCAGAAGAGATCAGGTGCAGGAGGGTGGAGAGGGCGGGGCAGGGGCGGGGCTCCAGCATGCCCCACCTCCTGGCTGGCCAGCTTGTCTCTCTTGGTGTTCAGATTTCTCCTAGGAACCCCAGCCTGATGTTGGGGACACAGGCATGAGAGGATAACCCAGGTCACCCCGGCCCTCCTCTCACTTCCCTTTTTATTCTGGGATCAGATTGGGGGGGAGGGCGTGGGGCTCCCAGATAGGAAGTAGTAGTATGTAAATAAAGGGACTGTGGCCATCTGAGGCTTGGTTTACCTGCAGCTACCTGGCCCGTGATCCACCCCCTCCTTTATTTCTGACTTCCTCCCATTCTCACAGAGGTCAGTCTGAGTATGTGTGCATGTGTGTATGTGTTTGTACACGTTTGGTATGTTGGAACCAATTTCCTTTCATGGAGGGGCTAGGCCCTTCCTTCTGTCACCAGGCTAAGGCACAGAGAGCTAGGATTATTATTATTTTGGCTTGAGATCATGATTCAAGCTTGGTACCTGATGCTTTTTACTCACTGGCTGGCGCCCTACCAACTGAGCCATGCCTTCTATTCTCCCCCCTCCCCCCAGCTAGGATTTAAGACTCAGGCCTGTCTCATCTTGATACTGAGGGATTGTTCTATGTATTCTATTTATTCTCCTAGAGGCCACTTGCTGGAGGGGTGGCAGTGGAGGGGGGTTTGGCAGCTTCTAGGGAAAAGCCAGATGCCTTGAGTTCAGCAGCCTTGCTTCTAGGTGCCCGTTAACTCTTTTGCACCAGCAAGTTTGTGTTCAGGAGTTTAAAATTTTTTATTATTATTTATTTATTTATTTTGGTCTTGGAGCTTGAACTCTGGGCCTGGGCACTGTCCCTGAGCTCTTCAGCTCAAGGCTAGCACTCTACCACTTGAGCCACAGTGCCACTTCTGGTTTTTCTGGTGGTTTATTGGAGATAAGAGTCTTGCAGAGGGCCTGGGAAGGTGGCTCAGTGGTAGAGATCTTGTCTTGCATGCCTGAGGCCCTGGGTTGGATTCCTCAGCACCACATAAGCAAAAAGAAAAAAACCAGAAGTGGTGCTGTGGTTCAAGTGGTAGAGCGCTAGCCTTGAGCTGAAGAGCTGAGGGACAGCGCCCAGGCCCAGAGTTCAGGCCCCACAACCGGACCTCCCCCCCCCCAAAAAAAAGAGTCTTGCAGACTTTCCTGCCCAGGCTGGCTTTGAACCACAATCCTCAGATCTCAGCCTTTTGAATAGCTAGGATTAGAGGTGTGAGCTCTCACACCCAGGCTTCATTTTTTATTTTTTTGCCAGTCCTGGGGCTTGAACTAAGGGCCTAAGCACTGTCCCTGAGCCTCTTGGTGCTCAAAGCTAGCCCTCTACCACTTGAACCACAGTGCCATTTCTGGCTTTTTCTGAGTAGTTTATTGGAGATAAGATGCTCATAGGCTTTTATGCCCAAGCTGGCTTTGAATCAGGATCTCAGCCTCCTGAGTAGGTAGGATTACAGGTATGTGCCACTGGTGCCTGGCTGTATACTCAGAATTTAATAGAAACACCATCTCAGCCTGATTGAATACAGGGCCAGGTCCAGATATAATAAGCAATACAAATAAATGCCTTGCTGTGTCCCAGTGTCTCATGCCTGTTACCCTCACTACTCAGGAGGCTGAGATCTGAAGATCTCAGTTCAAAGCTAGCCCAGGCAGGAAAGGTTATGAAACTCTTATCTCCAATGAACCAGCAAAAAGCCAGAAATGAAGCTTTGGCCCAAGTGGTAGAGGGCTAATCTTGAATAATAAAGCTTAGGGACAGTGTTTAGGCCCTGAGTTCAAGCCTAAGGACACACACACACACACACACACACACACACACACACACACACACACACACAGAGGCACTATGAAACCAGGAGGAAAGCTTGGTATTTCTGTCTCCAGTGTACATGTTTCTCCTCCATGCCTTTCTCCTCAGGACAGGACTAATAACATTTTACAAAGAGGGATGGAAGCTGCCCCCAAGGAAAAGAGAGGCAGAGCATCTGCCAGGCAACAATGCCTGTGACTGTGGCCAGCCACCATTTGCTGTCCTGAGAACATCATCAGCCGCCCCTCACTTGCCTGCACCTGTTTCCTAACTGTGCTCTTCCTTTGTCCCTTCCCCCAGTTTTCACTCCCTCCCTCACCCCCCATCATGTTTTTGTGCCACTACTGGGGCTTGAACTGAGGGCCTTGTGCTCTTACTTGGCTTGTTCATTCATTGGCTGGCACTCTACCACTTGAGCCATACCCCTACTTCCAGCTTTTTGCTGGTTCATTGGAGATAAGAATCTCATGGACTTTCTTGGCTAGGCTGACTTAGAAGTGTGATCCTCAGATCTCAGCCTCCTGAACAGCTAGAATGACAGGTGTGAGCCACCAATGCCTGCCTCCTGCTGGTTAATTTTGGTTATTGTTGTTAGTGCTGGGGCTTGAACTCAGAGCCTGGGCACTGTCCCTGAGCTCTTTTGCTTAAGACTAGCACTCTACCAGTTTGCTTCTGGTTTTCTGGCGGTTCATTGGAGACTCATGGAATTTCCTTCCCATGCTGGCTTTGATCTCAGCCTCCTGAGTAGCTAGGATTACAAGAGTGAGCCTGGACATTTCTGGTTATTTTATTTTATTTTATTTTTTTCTGGTTAATCTTTAAGAGATGAAGTCGATTGGACTTTACTGCCCGACCTGGCCTTGAACTTCTATCCACAGGATCCCAGATTCTTAATTAGCTAGGATTACAGATGTAGGCCCTGGGGTTCAGCTTTGAAGAAATGATTGAAGGATAACTTGACAGCCTCTAAACATTCACCCCAAAGCAACAAGTGTACAGAACAAAGATGTAGAGGTTGCTACAGGAAGATTTCACAGTAATTGAGTCATTCTGGGTGGATCCTGGCCTCCCTCCCAAGCTGACTCCTCACCCCAGGCCAGGAGATACACCCATACCACACGTGCTTCAGCTGCCAAAGGCCAGGCCTCTTCCACTCTCCCCCACAGCTACATCTCAGCAGAGCCTGGTACCAGCGTTTGGCAAGGCTTAAGTAAAAGCCTAGTTGAGTACCATGGATTGTTCTAGAAGGCTGTCACCAGGGTTCCAGTAGGCTGGGTGTTGGAGATACAAGTTCTAGAAATTGCTGGAGATTATTTTGTTCTAGATCCTCTAAGCCAAATCCTAGGCTAAGCCATGGCCTGTCTCCTTTCTGGTCCACTGTACTGAACTCCCCCTTGGATCTTTGCTCTCACAGCCTTGCTTATCTCTAGTGGGTCTCTCTGTTCTCTTCTTCCAAGCTGTTCCACTCAACACCTAGAACTTTAGGAAGTGGAATTTCAAGAGCCCGACTTCCTTCCTGTTTCCGTAGGCCGTGTGCAAAAGGCATTCTGGCTGGAGACACTGTTAGATGACCTTTGACCATCAACTGCTATCTCCAGACCTACCCTTGACCTCTATGCCTTCAGGAACTCATTCACCATTCTCGCAGACACTCTCCCCCAACCCCTATTTACCCCTATCTCCTTGAAAGAGGACTTTTCAGAACCCAGACCTAAACTCTAGGAGTTGCACTTGTTAGATTGGGTCACTACCCCTATCCACCAAACTAAAAGACAGAATGAAGGGCAGAGAAAGGGGATTTATTACCTGGCAGCCACAGGAAGGCAGGCTTTAAGATCTCTTCAACCATCTTCCAGGGGTGCAGACATTTGCGTTAGGCTTGAATAGATGAGGACCTGGGGGCAGAAAGGGAGAATGTATGCAGTCACAACAGCCCCAAGGCATACCTGTGAGCAGAGGTGAGCAGACAAGGTCTCACAGCCCCTTGGTCTCAGGATAGCCCAGGTGGGGCCTTGGGACAGCAACAGTCATTGACCCATGGCAAAGTGGTCTGCCTTTCTTGGCTTCTATGATGACTGTCCAAGATGGCCGCCCAAGATGTCTGTCAAAATGGCCCAAGACAAAGGTTTTGAGGTACACAGTGAAGGGGTTGGGGCTTCCTGGCTGTCACCCTCTTCCCAACTGATTCATGTGTCCATGTTAGGAGTCAGTGTTTCTCAGGAAGAAGCAGCTTTGAAGAACCTCTTATCTTCTGTCTCCTACACTTGGAGGGGACTTTACCCTTTCCTCTACCCTCTTACCTCTCAATTATTTGAATCTCTTGAACAAATTGAGCGAGGGTAGACCCATGAATGGGAGGAAACCATTTTAATGATGCACTTATGTATGGAGTCACACAAAAGTACAAAATGGCCGGGCACTGGTGGGTCATGCCTGTAATCTTAGCTACTCAGGAGGCCAAGATCTGAGGATCATGGTTCAAAGCCAGTCCGAGCAGGAAAAGTCCGTGAGACTTTTATCTTCAATAAACCACCAGAAAACCAGAAGTGATACTGTGGCTCAAGCGGTAGAGTGCTTGCCTTGAACTGGAGAGCTAAGGGACAGTACCCAGGCCCTGAGTTCAAGCCCCATGACCAAAAAAAAAAAAAAGAACAAAATTCCCAGAATTTTTATACCATCCTAAAGCTACAGAAAGAAGTAAGAATTGAGTTTGTTTAGTTTGTGGGAGGGTGGGAGGAGGAAATGCTTGGGACCAAAGGCCATATTGTTATTCAGATAAAGACTCTCCCATAGCCTCAGAAAAATAGCTGATAACGTATGACAAAGTCCAGTTTTCTCTCCAGTGAGTCAGTTCTAGGCCTAGTCTCAACTTTCCCTTCTTTTTCCTTCCCTTGTTTCTTTTCTTTTCCTTCCTTTTTTTTCCCTTTTCTTTTTTCTCTTCTCCTTTCCTTCCTTTTCTCTTCTATTTTCTTTTCTTCCCTTTTTCTTTCACAAGCTCTTCCTATGTGGCCAAGGCTACCCTCAAACTCAGACCATCCTGCGTTAGCCTCCCAAGTGCTGGAAGTACACCCAAGATGCCATCATACTAGGCTAAACCTAGATTTATCTTTAGGTCCCTTTCTGTATCCAGCTATCATATTGTTCCAGATCACATATGTTATGAAATGTTATTTAAGATTCAGTGTGATGTTGTCTGACTGTAACCTGAGCACTTTGGAAGCTCAGGCAGGAGCACTGAGAATTCTAGGCCAACCTTAGCTACATAATGAAACTCTGTCTCAATTTGAAAAATAAATAGGCATCATAAAAATAATTGTTTCAGCCAGGCACAATGGCTCACACCTGTAACCCTGGCTACTTATGAGGCTAATGACAGGTATCACAGTTTGAAGCTAGCCTAGGCAAACAGTTAATGAGACTCCATTTCAACAAAAAAGCATGATGCTTCTCTCTGCCTTAATCCATACATACAAAAGAGTTAACCCTTTGTGAAGCAATCAGCTACTTTCTATTCTTCTCCCTCTGTGAGCAAAGCATTTTCCTTTGAAATGATGAAATTTTAAAATTAATTTACCTTGTTGCTAGTATAGAGCTGATGTACAGAAGGATCACAATTACATGAGTCATGTAATGAGTACATTCCCTTTTGTACAATGTCTTCTGTTCCTCACTCTCTCTCATGATGAATTTTTGCTGCTTCTTC